TCAAATTAATTTCCTCTCAAACTATATGGAATAAGAAAAATCTCTGGGAGGCCACACATGATGGCTTATACATACAATCCCAGCATTTGGTGGGGCTGAGACAGGAGGAACACTTGAAGCCAGGAGTTCAAAACCAGCCTGGGCAACACAGTGGAGCCCCATCTCTACAAAAACCAAAAAAATATTTTTTAAAAAAAATTAGCCAGGAATAGCAGCGTGTACCTGTAGTTCTAGCTACTTGGGAGACTGAGAAAGGAGGATCACTAGAGCCAGGAGGTCAAGGCTACAGTGGGCTGTGATCGGGCCACTGCCCACAAGCTTGGATGACAGGGCAAGACTCTGTCTCAAAAAAAAAAAAAAAAAACTCTTAAGAAAAAAAACCAAAAAGAGTTATCAAAAAAAACTACCTTAATTTGATAATTTCCTCACAATTACCAGATTCCATTTTTTAAAACAGAGGAGGCATTTATCTTTTCAATGTGATAAGTAGTTACAGAATATCGTTTGCCTTTGTTAGGAGATGCAGAAAGAGAAGAAAACAGTGATTCATTTGGCAATTCTGACAAAATCCAAAGATGTATACAATTACTTCGTTCATTTAGAAAATATTATAGGAACTACAGTATTCTAGACACTATATTAAAGAATAAAGAAAGATCAATAAACACAACCCCTGCCCGCAAGAACTTTATATCCTGTGGAGATACATTAATGAGGCCTTCAAAAATTTGAAAACAGAAAGCTTAAGCTTTAGAAATAAATAGAATATGTCTTAAATATTATGCTGGGTGGGAGAAAGAGGTAGGAATTATAAAGTTTAATGAAACTGTTTTATTGAAATGATTCTGTAATTTGGCAACTCACATTCAGGTCTCTTACTGCTAACCACAGCATCTAGTAGCAGTCCCGAAATACTGACACATTTCAAGACAATTTTTTACTAACTCTACCATTTGAAAAATCGATAAACACTAAGGTGTTCTTGTGATGTCTCTTATTCAAAAATCATCCCAATGTACTTTCCAAACATTTTCAAGTCACATTTCTAAATCTTTAATCTTCCATAACATATCTGGAAGGAAAACAAGCAAAAAGTGGTTTCTGACAGCCATTGATAAAAACTGGTGTTGAAGGATAAGGAATTATTTGTGGAGATGGTAAGATTACACCTCAGAAGAGAGTACATGAAGACACAGTAAAATTACAAGGGAATAACATTAGAAACAAATCTCAGCAAAATAACTTGGCTCTATGACAGGGCTTGAGTTAGAAGTCAAAGAGTATACATACTCTAGGAAAGTCCCAAGTTTGATTCTGATATAACAAGGGTATAAAGTGGGGATGGGAGCAAATAATGTCTGTTATAATGATAGATTACCTAGGAAATATTGGCCTAAAACTACTTTTAAATTCTAACTTTTAGACTGACACATCTTTTAGAGTTATTACTGTGAAAAATGAAACTCTTCAATAAATGATCAACATATTTTGCAAATATATTTTGAAACATAAGGAACTCCATAATTTTAAAATATTAACCAATCTGATCAAGACTACCTAATAGTCTTTTTACAGTATTACTGTTGCTTTTAGAAACTATTTTTCCTCATTGTCAGTTATATGAGAAGTCACCACGAAAGCAAAAAGAAAATCTACTTTTAATTGAATCGTAAGTGTAAGTATTTTAGGTTACATGTACCAAAATATTATGCAATAATAGGAATTTATCATTTATCTTCCTTCCTTCCAATACCACTTTCCTCAAAATATGCTTCTGCACAAGATTTCTCCATATTGCTACATAGAAATCTAACAATGAAGGGAAATATTATACTTAACAGAAGAATGTCAGAAAAGAATACTGATCATGAGAGAAGTATAAAAAATAAGTCTGATTTGGGGTCAGGATGAAAACATTTGTATTTTAAAAAAGGAAAATATTTGTATTAAAAGCCACTTTAAAGCAGACTTTAGGCAAATTAGACATGTTGCATCCTATGTCACAAAAATCTGATTATGCCTAGAGACCAACCTAGAGAATGGAAGGTAACTTTCTTTCTCACATCACCACAATGACATGCCAATCATGTCATGTGAGAATACAATAGTTTCTAAAAATAAACAGTAGTATTGTAATATATTAAAGTAGAAAAAAAGAGCAGAAATAGTCAACTGTAAAGGCCTACTCAAAGTTACATCTGTGAAAAACATATGGATTGATCTATATCCTTCCAGACTGATCTAGACTACAGATGATTCAGTTTACATGGTCAATTACTTTCAAATTGGTAAGGGAAGACTGCTCTGATCAGCACCTCAGTTAAAAAAAAAAAAGGTGGGGGAGGGGGTGTGAGGGGCAGTGACAAATTTAGCCAGTCTTACTACAACTGTTCTAATAGCTCCTCCCATTTATATTTAAAGCAAGAAAAACTGAATGTCCTCAACAGTCATAGTAACACATATGCACCAATTCTAAAAACCTTTATAGGTGCTAACTGGGCTATCTATTGGCATAGTGTGCTAGTGTGCCTGGGAATTATGCATGACAGATCCATGTTAAAAAAAAAAAAAAAAAAGTTTTGTATTATTACCTATGTGCCACAAAATAGGCTTAAGTTTTCAATGCAGAAAGATCCTTATTGTCATCAAAATACTTCAAACAGTAATTTAAGCACATACACATTGCTTAGAAATGGAAAAATAACACTAAAGTGAATCACTGTTATGTTTGACAACGGCAATTCTAATTTTTTAGTACTTTGTTTTACACCTGTTTCTCAAAGTGTAAAACTGTATCTGAGGAGAATAATAAAAACTAGTATCTACTGAACATAGTACCACACACGGCAATAAATTCTTTTCATGTACCATCTCATTTAATCCTTAATAATCTTAAAAGGTATCGACTGTAACTACCCCCATCTCAACTAAAGGTCATGAATAAACAATTTATCCAGGAAGTAGCTGAGATAGATTTTAACCCAGAGCCCAGAACCAAGATAAATGGGAGAAGAAGAAAGTTGCTGAGGAAGATCAGAGATTTAACTCCCAATGTAAAAAGGCATACTATTTATTGATGATAGATAGTCCCTCCCTATAACCTGGAATACTTTTCAATCTTGGCTACACATGAGAATCACCTGTGAGATTGTATTATTTATTTATTTATAATTTTAACTATCCATGCCTAGGACCCATAATTTTAACTATCCATGCCTAGGACCCTCACTTAGTACCTGGCCTTCAACTGGCCTGGGGTAGAGCAAAGACAAGGGTCTTTTTTTAAAGTCACCCAGGATTCTAATGGAGAGCTAAGTTTGAAAATCACTAATAATTCTTTGCTACCCTATTAATCTCTCCAGGTAGCCAACCACAATCAAGTTTACTGATTACTTAGGTTCTGAGCACTTTGTCCACTATTACATTTTCCACTTTCAACAAAGTGCTTAGTTTTTCTTCTCCTTAACAGAGGTAACATTACAACTACAGCGGCGTCTTTTTAAATGACAAGATTTAGCTTTTCTTTGATATGAGGAATGTAGAAGGAGGGATAGACGGCATGACAAAGTGTGGAAATCACTTCTTTAAGCATCCACATACTCCTGAGGCTTAAAACAATGCAAAAAGGTCATAAAAGTCAAAATAAAATCAAACGGCAGGTTATGAATTCTGTGATATATGTTAAAAGTTTAACATCCATGATATTTGGTTGTATTTCTTAAGCTGGTGACAACACTTAGAAAGTATTACTGTGGTGATAAATTCCACTGTCTTGTCATGGTGCTGTGATGGCAATTATGCAGTGTTTTTACCCTGTTAAGTCACCTGAATATAAACTAACAGGTGCTAAAGAAATCAAAGCATTACATAAGCATACTCAAACAACAATACAGCTGGTCATATGAGAAATGCAATTATTTTGCTGACAAACTTGTATGAGAAGTCTTACTGTTTCCCTAAGTTATTCACAGCACATCCCACTCACTCTTCACCAAAATATAATGAAGACTATTCCAGATATTTTCAGACTTGCTGGCTCTTTTACTGAAAAAGTGAAGAAGTACAGAGATACCTGGCAAGTATGGAAGTTTGATCTATGATTTGAACAAGAGATCTAAAACGGAAGAGTATCAAAACATCAAGTGGTACAAAACTGTGGACTTCATAGAGAAACATTACAAAACTTCCTGCTTCCGGACAGCTCATTATTTGGTTCAAGTCTTCACATTCCTTTATTTGTCATGGTCTTTCTGAAAGCTTTCATTCCTTATTGTTTAATACCAAACTTTTAATGTTACTAGTGGGACTTTCCAAATTAAGAAGCCCCAAGTTCGTGCCCCAAGGAGGAACTTCAGGACTACAGTTTTCCCTCAGCAACCTGAGCAGAGTGTATGTCCCTCACGTAGTTTTTTGTTGTTGTTGTAAACATATTTCTTTCTGCACATCTTAAATTTGTGTTCAACTATGTATTTTTATCACGTACAACTACAAGAACTTGCATTAGTTGTGCGGAAATGTGTGGAAGAACTGGGAGAACTGTGGGTATGTGTGAAACAGACACGACAGGGAGCTTCGCTGCCAATTGTCACTGGGGTCTCACACGACCCAGATCTGGCCTCTGAGCCATGTCACTGGGTGCAAAGGCACAGAGAACCACAGGATAACTGGGCGAGAAAACAAGGAGGCTCCCCGTCAATACACCCTGAAGGGGAAGGGTGGCCCGCAGGACAGACCCTAATGAAAACCCGTGCCTACTGGGATCGTCACATCGCCCGGGCCTGTAGGGCCTGCTAAAGAGGTGTGTGGAGGAGGAAGGACAGCGTCCGTCCCCACTTCGGAGACCCAAACAAATGAAAATAAGCCAAGTTCTCACTTCCTGGTCGCCGACTCTTTCCGAAGGCCACCGACACCCGACGGACACAGGGGAAACCGCGCTCCCGTGGAGTAACGGGGCCCACCCCAGCCCGCACCTCCCGCCCTCGCCCTTCTCCGGGCCTTACACGGTGACGTGACCGGAGCCGCGGACGACCACCGGGTCCGGCGAGTACTTGAGCAGCTGCTCCTCCAGGGCCCGCTCCTCGTCCTCCTCTTCCTCATAGATTTCGTCGAAATCCGCCATCCTGAGCCTCCGAGAGCCCCTGCCCAAAGGGGCCTGACTCCCGGGATTGGCGCCGGGGTACCCGCGGGCGAGGCGGCGGAGGCTGAGGGGGGGTCGCCGCTGCCGCCGGCTCCGAGGCCGCGGAGTTCGCTGTCGGCTCTCTCGGCTCCCGCTACAGAGGAGATGGGGTCGGGACCGTCGCCGCCACCGCCGCCGCCATTACCATCAGCAATAACAACAACACAATGTCAACATCCGCCCAGAGGCCAACACCTCCACAAGCACAGACGCCGCTGCCGCCGCCGCAGCAGCAACTCAGGCAACCACAGCAACAGCCTGAGCCACCCGCAGCGGGAGCAGCCGGCTACGGCATCGCGAGACTTCCCGGGCCTACGGGTGGGCGGGAGCGTGCGTGGGCGCGTGGGCGCGCGGACTGGCTGGCTGGCGGGCGGGCGGGCGCGCGCACGGGCGGCCTCGCGCGCTCCCAGGCCGCCGTCTTTCCTCTGCTTCCACCCGCGGACGGCGCCCGAGGCGCGCGCTCCCGCCGGCGCGGCCCCGCCCGCAGCTCCTGGGTCGCGGACCCGGGGGGCGGCGGCTCTGCTGACTGGAAGCGGTGACCTACGACTCCGACAACGCAGCTCGGAATGTCCAGTGGGACATTCAGTTCCCCAAAGTCATCTCTAACCAAAACAAACAACTGAAAAGAAAAAGCCCTGGCTGGAATAGACACATTTTTGTGCGTGCCATGCCGGTTTCTCTAATAATCGCATCTCGCTTTTTCTCAGGTTTTGAGTCTATGATGAGTACCAGAGTCTCTTTTTTCCCAATTTCAGGAGTCCAGCAGAGACATTGCAAACATGTGTGTCCACCACAGGATTTTCCAAGACATCTCCAAATTCAAACATCTTGTCCCTTGATCCCCTTAAATATAATCCAATATATGAGGCCAACGATGCTGGTTTTTTTTTTTTTTTTTCTTACAAGAAATCTCACAGTAGTCATGCTATGAAAAAAAAAAAAAAAAAAAAAAAAACTGATAAATTACCTGGATTCCATATTAGAAGACGCAGTTTCTTGCCCTAGCTCCCTCACCAAACATAACCTGGTTTGTGTTGTTGTTTCCTTAAAACCTTAGGGAATCCCTTTCCTTTTCTTACCAGTTCCTACCACAAAAAAAGACCTGAAAGAAAGGGAGGAGGGGAGGAAGAAAAGGAGGCAGGAAGGAAGAAAGGATGGAAGGACGAGAAAGAATGAAAGAAGAATGGGAGAGAGAGAAAAAAGGAAGGAGGGGAAGAAGGAAGGAAAAGGTTTAATGGAGTCTACTTATCTGCCTCGTAACAGTTGAAGGGTCACTTCGGGTACTTGGTATCATTAAGCATATAAACAGTACAGGGGAAGGGCTTCTGAGAAGAGAGTCCTGGACAGTGAGGACACATCATGGGAGAAGAAAGGATAGTTCTACTGAGCCCAGCGCTGGTCAGGCTATTCTCCAAGTGCAGTGTTCATGTCACAGTAGTCAGCTTTAGATGGGTCACTGTTGACGTGGAGAAAGTGCAAAGAAGGTCAATGAGGACAGTGAGAAATGCCAACCTCCTATTGGAAACAACTGAAGGAAATTGGTGTGGTTAGCCAAGAAAAGATGAAGGAAAACACAGTAGTTGTATCAGACTTATTGTATGCCTCCCTGGAGGATATTTGTTCATTCAACAATTATCTCCTGAACTCTAGCTATGTGGCAGGCACTGTGGGTGTGTGTGAATGAGGCACAGGCCCTGCCTTCCGGTAGCTTATCTATTGTTAAGGCAAGCAATTGTCATCTCTGCCAGGGGCTCCTGGAGGAAGACACAGGAAGTATCAGCGGGGCACACAGGAGGCAGCTTGGTCTGGTATTTAACAATGTGGGTTCTGGAACCTGACTATCTGGCCTTGAATCTCAGCTCTGCTACTTACTGTGCGACCCTGGACAAGTCACTCAACCTCCCTGTTCAGTACCTGCCCCTTTGGGATGCTCAGCAGATTCAAGGGCTTAAGATCTGTGAAGTGCTCAGAAGAGGGCCCAGCACACAATAAATACAGGGTGATAATAGGTGATGCTTAAGGCTCTGCAGCTTATCAACCCTATGAGGGTCACCACAGCATTATGTAATATTTAACTGCTTATAAAGCATGTGCATAATACATCATTTAATATTCCCCTAAGAACCTGTGAGGTGAGCAAAAAGGGTGTATTTATTTTCAGATATGCTATGTTTCAGAGATGCTATGATATGCTATACTTCAGAGATGCTATGTGGCTTTCTCAAGGCCATGTGACAATTTAAGATTTAATGGTCTAATTGAGTGGGCCAAGCTTTCCTGAATGTCTTTTTGTTTTTTTTTAAAGACAGAGTCTCACTCTCTCACCCAGGTTGGAGTGCAGTGGCACCATCGTAGCTCACTGCAGCCTTGAACTCCTCAGCTCAAGCCATCCTCCCTCCTCAGCCTCTGAATTTCTTTCTTGACAGGAGCCAGGAGACTAGTGGCTGCACTCAGTTAATGGAAGAGCTGCAAATGGGAAGATAAGAAAGAGAATAAGAAGGGTCAGTATATCCTGGCACAGCCCACACCTGTGGTCAAGATAAGGGGCTGGTGCCCCAAAGTATCTAAATCATCACATACCTGACAACTTCCCAAAGATGGAGGAAGCGACACAGAGCTCCTTAAAACTCTAGCACCTTCCACAGTTCCTGCTTCAGAAAAGGAGCTTAATAAATGTTATCTGAATTGAGATATAGTGTTACTAGCGCTCTTTCCAGAACACTGTGATTTAATTAGGCTTCAGAGGACTGTGAGAACCTCACCCTTATCTTCACACTGGCTCGATGTGGGAGAAATGTTCTTATTCTAAGATCTATTCAGCAGAGAGATCTTTGTAACTCCCACTGCCTGGGTATACGGTGCAGGGAGGGAAATGCCTTTTCTTTTTCTTTTTTCCTTTCTGTGTGTGTGTGTGTGTGTGTGTGTGTTTTCTTCTTTTTTCTGCTCTGAAAAACCTGTCAGAGCCAGCAAAAGGGTGTGGGACCTAGGAACAAGGCCAAAGGGGTGAGTGGACATGAGTCAAACATTTTCCTGATGAGAATTGACATCATAATTCCAACCCCCCACCTCCCCTCCGCCCCACCAACCTTCCAAGATCCAGTTTCCTGTGAAACTCCTTCCCCCAATTGCTTCCTGGAGACAAGCCGCTTTTCCAGGATCCTCTCACTCTGTGTCCAGGTACTCCCCTGCACCTTGCTAAATGCCCATCCCTCCATAGCCTCCTCTTCATTGGAGTTTCTCTTTACATTCTCGCCTCACATATTTTTATATTTACCTTCAGACCAAATGGCTCAAAACCAAACTAGATAACGTCTCCGGGCCTCGGGAGTCAGCAAGACTTGTTTTTAAGGCAAATATTCCTTAGTTAATTCCCTAGATTTGAAAACTTCCCAGTTCCATTTCTACCTCGCAGAATGGCCATTGGCAGCCTCACCTTTCTAAACTTCCTTTTCTTCATCTTCAAATGGAAACTATGTCATGGGTTTCTGGAGGATCAAATGAGATCATGCATGTACTATGGACTGAATTGTGTCCCCCATCCCCAAATTCATATGTTGAAGTCCTATCCCTCAATGTTATGGTATTTGGAAATGGAGCCTTTGGAGGTGATTAGGTTGAGATGAGGTCAAGAGGCTGGCGCCCTCATGATGGAATTTGTGCCCTTATAAGAAGAAATACTAGATAGTTTGCGATCTCTCTGTGCCATGGGGACATGGAAAGAAGAGAGTCATCTGCAAGCCAGGAAGAGGACTGTCACCAGGACCCAAATTATCAGGAACTGTAAGCTAAATTTCTGTTGTTTCAGCCACCCAGGCTACAATGTACTGAATGTTTATATCCCCCCAAATTTGTATGTTGATATCCTGGCCCTCAAGGTGATGGTATTAGGAAATATTAGGGCCTTTCAGAGGTGATTAGGTTATGAAGGCTGATTCCTCATGAATGGGATTAGTGCCCTTATAAAAGAGGCCCCAGAGAGCTGGTTTGCCCTTTCCACTGTCTTCGAACACAGCAAGAAGACAACCATCTATACAAGGACGAACACCTTCACCAGACACCAAATCTGCCAGCCATTTGATCTTGGAATTCCCAGTTTCCAAAACTGTGAGAAATAAATGTTTGTTTATAAGTCACATAGTTTATGATATTTGATTGGAGCAACCCAAAGGGACTAAGACACAGTCTATGGTATTTTGTACAGCGGCCTGTTTGTGTGGAACAAAATACACTCAATGTGCTTTTTCCTGTTCTCCCACTTAACAACCACAACCAACACAGAAGACCTCTGTGACCAGATGTGTGGGGGGTTTTCCCCACCAACAAGCAAGCAATCTCAACTCTGCAGTGGGGCACCAGCTGTATGTCCTAATTCAATTCCAACACTCTCTACCTGGAGATAGCATCAAATCCTACAGGGTGAGGGCTCAGTGGGCAAGACTCCACCCTCCACTTCAAACACCAGTCAAAAGTCCAGGTCTCCAGAACTTCTGACTGATCGGCTATAAATTGGGGTTCCCACAACACCCTCCTCAGGTTCAACTAATTTGTTAGAGTGGCTCACAGAACTCAGGGAAACAGGTTTGCTGGTTTCTTAAGAAGGATATTCCATTTCATTTCATTTATTGAGACAGAGGTACAATCACCACTCACTGCAGCCTCAACCTCCCTGGGCCCAAGCAATGCTCCCACTTCAGCTTCCCAAGTAACTGGGAATGCAGGCATGCACCACCACACCCAGCTAATTTTTACATTTTTTGTAGAGATGGGGTTTCACCATGTTGCCCAGGCTGGTCTCCAACTCCTGGGCTCAAGTAATCTGCCCACCTTGGCCTCCCAAAAGTGCTGAGATTACAGGCATGAGCCACCACACCCAGCCAAGAAGGATATTTTAAGGGTTACAAATAAACAGCCAGATGAAGAGACACAGAGGGTGAGGTCTGGAAGGGTCCTGGGTGCAGGAGCTTCTGTCCCCACAGAGTCAGGGTGCTCTGCTTTGCCAGCACATGGATGAGT